ACACATACACACACATACACACACACATACACACACATGCACACAACACAATTACGAGCGCTAAAAAACGACTATTCAATATCGTAAAAATGATGAATGAGAAGAAAAATGAAGGGGAGAGAAAGGATGATTGATATATGAAATGATAAATTTAGAGAGAGCAGAAAATGGCAGAGAGTCAATTGCCGTTTGTTTTACATTTCTGATATAAGCAACTGATAAAACTGCTATCTTTCCTCTAAAATTTTCGAAGCATCAATATGCACTTGATATTGATAAGAAAGATTGTTTTGTACAAAACGACGATTAGTAATTCCCACTGTGGTCAAAGATCAAATACTGCAAGAATTACAAAATTTTCTACGATAAGTTTAACAAAGTGACTAAGAAAGCATTTATTTGATCTCCAAATAATTTGGAACTATTCGGCAAATTATCATAATTTAATGGTAAAAAATATTTGCAAAATGACATTGCTCACTGATATAAAATTTAGCTGTGTGAGTCATCAGAGAAATAATTTCATTCAAAATAAACGAGAAAATAGAATAATATATGTTAATAAAATTGTCGATTGAATGAAATTAATTATTCTGTAAATTTCAGCTTCAACAGTTCCAATCAAATGTTTAAAAAATATCTGTGCGAAGCGTAATTTATATTTCATTCTTCCTTTTTCACTATTCATGTGCAAAACAAAAATTTCATTTCAAATTTTATTACCTTTTCTCAATATTGTTGTTTTGTAACAGATTTTAAATTCATAATTTATGTGATAGTTTTAATTCAATTGTATTGATTTTTTTTTGTGAGCAAATTTCTTAATTTCGGAGATTTAAGAAGTTTGTTGACATAAGCGCTTTGCTAAGAAATATCTTACGCTTCAGTAATCCTAAAATAATCAACATATTTTTTGTGTGACATTATAAGGTAGAAATATCGTCAAACCTTGCCGAAAAATGATAATTTTCAGTGATTTAAATCATTTATCAATGCATAATAATAGTGATAACATTTGATATGGTACTGAACTTCTTATGGCAATAACAATTAATAATCTTAATTATTAGGAATATACATTCATTCAGTTCATTCAGTGTTTTCTGACAATGATAGCGCTGATTCAGAAAGCTTCATTAAGTAATTTATCAAAGCTTTTCAACAATGAAATGTTTTTTTTTTGGATCAATGAAATGATTTTCCAAGCTTACTTGCAATTTTTTCATTTTATTAATGCTATCTCGTGGAATATTGTGTTACGATTTTATTGGAGGATTTGTTTATTTGTTTATTTTGATTCTATTTTCTGAAAATTTCACAAAAATTTCACGACACAAACTATTTTCTAGAAGGAAAGGTTTATTAGAAATGGTCAATAATCAATAAGTTATGAATTGGTTATAGGAATATGTAAAAAGCATCAACAATAAAAGGAAAAAAGAAATAAAACAAAAAATAAATGAATAAATAAATATTAGAGATGGATGACGATGTTGGAATGATATCTGTTAAGTGCATTCATTTGAACGAAATGCATGCACTCGCACATTTATTCAAGAATGCTGCAAATCATTTTCTACACGAAAAACCTTATTTCAAACTTTCAGTAATCAATAATCAATAACAAATCATTTGCTTTAATCTTATTTTAGTTCATATTTTAATCGATCAAAAACAGACATTTAAAATTAAAATAAAATCATATTATTCTCATTTTAATGCATTTTTATGTAAATTTCTCTGAAACAAAGTTTTCATCATTTTAAAATAATTAATTAACAATATTTAATTGATAGCTTTTGAATTTTGCAGTAGAAGAATTGACTTCATGAAAGGATTAATTAATCTACATTTGCTTGATTCAATGTTTATTTATTTAATAGAACTGACTGATTAAAATATAATCAAATTGCATACTTTTTACATATTCAAAAAATTTCTTGTAAAATGAATATACAATCAATGAAATAATTGTTCTCGAAAACACGATCTGTAATTAGTAATTTGAAAGGGAAATGTAAATTAAAAGGATCCTCTCGGGGAAATATAAACGGCATAGGCAAACGAATGTTCAAGATTGAAATTCATTAAGAAGACGACTTAAATGTGTGGAAATGAAGAATTTCTTCCGATACTAAATCCATTACAAGCATAAATTTAAGAGAAAAGAGTGATGGTGGAAAGGTTGGGTGTGTATACCCATCGATGAAATCGAAATCGTTTGCATAGCTCAATGATTGTTACATTTGATTGTTTTATTTTTCATTTGGTACTGTTTAATCAGCTAATGTTTAATCAAAATTTAAAAATTTTTTTACCACCAATGTTTAATCAAAGTATAATAAAATAGTGTTAATTTGGAAAATTTTTAAAGATAACTTTCCGGTATGGTTTCTAAATTTGAGAAAAACAAAATAGCAGATTTTTTTTTTTGCTAAAGAGCAAAGAGATGAAATGAGAATTTTTATTACAAAATAAAACGAACTGGAATGAAAGAGAGACATCGGCAAGGGTGATTATTTGAAGAATACTGTAGCACTTAAAAAGAAATAATTACACGCTGTACATTTGGTGATAAAAGAATGTAAAAAAGAGAAAATTTTCAACTATTAGCAATCGTTTAGATTTTAAAAAATTTTTCAATTGTAATAATAATTAATGTTAACCATCAACAAGTTTTTGCAAAATTTAAGAATTTAATTTAAGGAAAAAAGGAAAAAAATTCGAAATAAAAAGAATCATTGCATTTCGATATCATTTCGTATGGTTATTGATAGAAGGAAAAAAAAAGGAAACTTTTTTGCATATTTCCTTTTACCTTAGGATACGAGTACTTATTTTATCAGTGATTTCAATTCTGTTCAATCCGAAACATAAACTCTTCGGCTTATATGGCTAGTAATTCAAGTATACGATTAATATATTAATTACAGTTAGATGATTATCATTTGAAGAATTAATTATTCTTATCATTTACTTCAACAAATAAAAAGTAAACGAATTAAAGGATTTAATATTGTTTTTATAAGCAAACTAAATTTTGCTTTTCATTCCATTTTAGAAAATCTAATAGAACATAATTTAGCAATTTTCTCTTTACTCAAACTTTCAGAACTGATACTGATAGAGAAAGAATAATGTGAGTAATGGATGTTTTATTACATCCGCATCCTTAGATAACTTCCAATACGTTCAACTCATCAACTAAATTTAATTTACCTAAGTTTTAATGGCTTCCATAATTTTTAACTACCTTGACCTTTAGCTTTATCATCCCTCATTTCTCATGATCTCATTATCATATGTTTACATTTCTGGACACGTCTGTGTATGTTTCTGTCTCAGCCATTGACAAGATATCTGATTTGATAAATATAGCAGTTTCGAAATGCAGTCCGGAATATCTGACTGATAAGTAAGCCTGAATCTTCACATCTCTATTGATAAAAACCGATTCAAAGGCAGTCAGCCTGCGGGATGATTGTTTGCATTTAGGAGCGTGATAGTTTGAGGCATGAATTCTGAAACAAAACATCCGTTTACTGCGATTAGCGTTGACATACCTGTCTTGTAAGATGTCGTTAGAATTACGTGAAGGGTCAGATTTGGTTGACGTGAACATGCGTGCATTGTGAAATGATAGCATCAGAATTACGTAAAAGATCAAACTTTACCACTCATTAATTTGATAGTTTTCAGAGATGTCATGGCGTTCAGCATTATGCACTGCTTCTAAAACACTTATCGGCTCGCATGGCTTACATCTTTCGGTACACTCTCACATTTCATACTATTGAGAAATTTTGGCCAGTTTTCTTAAATTTGTGGTGTTCTGATATAGGGTATTCCTTGACGAATTACTTATATCAATTTTAATTTCCGATACCACAAAATTGGAAACACATAAGTAGTAATGGCACTATCACGTAATACTAATATCATTGTTAATTCAACGAAATTTTAATAAACGGCATTTTGTGAATGGATCTTGATATATTTTCTTTGTTCATCAAAAAAAAAACATTAATTTTATCATCTTGAAAATGAGTGAAATAAAAATAGAGCAAAGGATTTAAATCATTTCATGATATGTGACATTATATAAATATTTAACAGCAGATTCATTTAGCTGAGGACTACAGCAGCTTCTGCATCACGTGATGTATTGGGTAATATTTCTGCACCCCAGATTACATCCTTAAAGAATGGATTTCGTATTGTCACAGAAACTAGCGAACTACCAACTGTCGCTGTAAGCGCTCTTTCTATTTGCTCGAAATATTAGAACTCACATATAAATGTCAGCATATTTTATATACTTTTCAGTCGTGCTTTCTATTTAGCAAATGTTGGCTTAATTATTTATTTATCAGGGCACTTGTATCTTGTTTATAGTTGTTACCTTCAATAATTACTTATAACAACAGTAATAATTTCAATATTACAGGTTGGCGTTTGGATCAATTCCGGAAGTCGTTTTGAAAATGAGGGAAATAATGGAATTGCAAATTTCTTAGAACATATGATGTATCGTGTATGTCTGGTTTTAAAATTTGTAAATACTGCTTGGTTTAAAAAAAAAATCTCATTTTCAATCAAATATTTTTACAGGGCACAGGAAAACGGTCGCAAACAGAACTGGAGATAGAATTGGAGAAGATCGGTGCAAGATTTGATTCATATACTTCCAGAGAACATAATGCGTTTTATATACAATGCGTCCCAAAAGATATAGAAAATGGTATTTTAATTTACAAAGAAAGGAAATTTAATTCTTTACAATAAAATGAGAATTGGATTGAGCGTTTATTCAGCATCGAATGTTTTTGTTTACTGCAGTGGTGGCATTGCTAGCTGATGTGCTACAAAACAGTAAATTAGACCAAGCGGCTTTGGAAACGGAACGTACTCGAATTTTGCGTGAAATAAATAACACGGCTGAAGATCATAGCGAAGTGGTTTTTGATTACCTTCACAATGCTGCTTTTCAAGGAACACCTATGGCTAAATCTATTTACGGTACAGAACATACAGTGAGGTAAGTTTTACGTGTTTTAGATATGTTTCTTTAATTTCTAAACTTTTCAGTCATGCATCACGCTTAACTAATATATTTGTTGAGATTATTTCTATTCGAAAAAAGTAAAGTGATAAAGAGCATATCATTTAAGGATAAAACTATAAAAGTTTTCTCAGCCATTTGTAATTACATATTTAACAGGAATTTGACACAGAGTGATTTGCGCAAATATGTCGATGCTCTGTATAGACCATCTCGAATGGTACTGAGTGCAGTTGGTAACATTGAACATTCTAAGATTGCAAATCTTGCTGAACAATATTTTGGTAATCTTTCAACTGGCCAGTCAGGAAATGCTTCTGATTCGAAAGGAATTCGTTTCACGGGAAGCGAGGTGATTTTTAGCCTTAGTAAATGCAAGTAAATTTCATATATATTTTGAATGGTAGATATTGGAGTGGCATTTCACCACCACTCTAGGGAATTTTTTAAATTCAAAAATGGATAATCTTATTGACATTATTTTTCATACCACATATTTTTTAGTTGTTATACAGTTTTATATATTTAATTGATATTTCAGTTCTTGTATCGAAATGATAATATACCTTTCATGTATGGTGCACTGGCAGTTGAAGGTGTTGGTTTTACTCATCCCGATGCTATTCCATTAAAGATTGCAAGTACGGTAAGCCAAAACTGTGTAACTGATTTCTCTGTCATTTATTTATCTTTAAAAGAGAAACAATTGTAGAAGTATTCTATAGTTACGCAAAAATACTGGTGTAAAGCAGGAAAGAAATTTTCATGCTAATAAAAATATTTCTGAGCAACAAATCATTTTTCAGATGATTGGTGATTGGGATTGTACACAGCTCTCATCAACCAATGCTACCACTGCTGTTACACAGAAAATTTCTACAGGATACGGTGTGCATCAATTGAAATCGTTTTCCATCAATTATGGCGATTGCGGTTTGTTTGGATTCTATATCGTTATGAACGGTAGCGATGTAGCATCTACGACATTCGGTATGAAGGAAGTTATTCGGGGTTGGTAAGTAACTATTTGATTTCAGATTAGTAGTTTTGTTTAGCGTACATCATACTGAAGGTAATTAGATTGATTAGAATTTAATTAAATGATTAAGGTTTTCATAAAAAATTAAAATGTTTTAAAGACTTTGAAGAAACACAGCATCGAAAACATTAAATAAGCATAAATCACTTAAAATGACGTTTGAAGATGCACAGTAATGAACAGTAATGAACATGGTGTGAATGTATGCGCTGAAAAATATCGAACATGACATAATCACTATCCGTTCTTTATCAGAATTACTTATTGAGAAATTTTGAGGAAAAAACTGGCTGTAGGAGTATCTGAGGAAGAAGTTGAACGAGGCAGAAATATGTATAAAACGGTAGTATTTTCAACGTTGGAATCAAGCGTTACACGTGCTGATGATATTGCTAAACAGGTAAAATATTTCTTAGCTGGCTCCATTCAGCGGTTATTATTTGTAACAATGCTCCTCGGATTTCTCAAACATTAGATAGTTAAATAATAAAAAATATGTGAACTGCACACATAAAATTCAATTTTTCATATAAACTATATTTTCTCCAGGTTCTTTATACTGGTACAGTGCAGTCATTGTCCGATTTTGAAAATTCTATTGATAGTGTGGATAAGGAGACTATAAGTGAAGCTATAAATAAGCACGTCTATGATCGAGACCTTGCAGTCGCAGGAGTTGGTATGCTATGCTTGCTTTTTTTTCGCAAGTTAGCATTATAAGTCAAAATTGTGGGCTGGAAATTATGAATTGTTTGGGATAATTTTTAAGCCGATTTGTCACTTTGAAATTTTAGATTTATTTTTTACAGGACGCACCGAAGCATGGCCAGATTACTATCAAATGAGAATAGGCATGAGTTCTTGGCGATTGTAAAGTAGTAATGTGATTTTTTTAGCTGTAGTATTCCGAATTCTAGCAGTGTTACGCTTTTTCATTAATATGTGTTATTCTGGGGAATTCTTTTTTTGTTGTAAGCGAATAAATTTTGTAACTGTATCATATTGCTGGTTCTGTGTCGTATTCTTCGCTCTCTATCGAAAAAACGTATAAATAATCTGATTTTGTGGTTTTTTTGGGCTATATTTGTTTCAACATCCTTATTTGTGAATTTGTCTGAAATGTACGGTCTAAATTTTTTAGTTTTTTCGTAACTTAGTAATGTTTGTGTGGTGATCCTCTAAATTGCGTTTCCAGGTGCAGCCAAAAAATTATGACGACTTTAGTGAGAACTCATCAAGCAGCTTTAAAGAGGGTAATGTTGTGTATACATTATACACATGTTTTTTGCTATCAGTAATGAAATTGTGATAGTAAGGACCATGTTTTCTAATGTATTGGAATATTTTTTTAATTTTTTCAACAACAGACTACGAAATCATTTAAAGGAAATTACCAGAACAGTTTGTCTAAGAAAAATACATTTTCTCGTAATTTGGTTTCTTTCCAGGTATGTGGAAATCAGCCAATTGGATGTTTGCAAATATCAGTTCCCACGAAGAGTAAGAATGATACTGTTCCAGTGATAGTATCATCTAACCGAAATTCAGAGCTAGATGCCCCATCCTCGGGCCACATGCTCTCTACGATATCTGTTAAACGGATTGTAGGTTAGTGAAAAATCTGGATTAATTTTTCATATGTTATATTTAAGCATTAATGAATAATCCTGGTCTATGGCCTCTATTTGATATTATGAAGTGTCATTCAAACTGAATTCCACTGAATATTCAATCACAGTTCAGAAATATTTACAAATATGACAAGCTATATTTTGAATATATAGAAAGGTGTAAAATTTCATGAATCAGGTGTTTAGTGGATGTGTCAATTCACTGCTGATAACATATTTTGTTTGACTGATTTTTTTTCCAGCAACATCACGTCGTTTAATTCACACCGATGTAACATTTCCCAAATACCATGACAATGAGCGATCGAAGGCAGCTATTGACTCAACAAAGGCGGCTAGAGATACTGAGGATTACCGCCGTGTAACAGCTCAAGGACTGTTGTTCGGAGGTCCAAATCATTTCCATCTTATTAATATTTTGCGATTACGTGTAAAAGTTCTTTTTTTATAGATTTTCCATGGTGTCACTTAGTGATAATTTACAGTAAACGGAGCTGTTTATCTCTATATGGCTACGAAGTTTGTACAGTCACTTGTCATTTACAAAAGTATGCCAGCCGATCAGTTAGCTATGGCAAATACAGAAATTGATCTGAACGAAATCCCTGAAGGACAGGTAAGACCGAACTTAAAACTTCGTAAACAAAGTTTTGATATGTTTTTATGCACAGCAAATCTGTTTTGTGCAGCATTCATCATGAAAAAAACCCTGTTTTACAACTCACTAAAATACAGTCTATTAAATTTTTAAATAAGAATCAGATTAGGATCATAAGAGTTATTGTATTCGATCATTTTTCATCAGTAACAAATCTTAAAAATTAAGCATCTTTTTAAAAAAATTTCTTTTTCAAAATGTTTTAGTGCAAAACATATACTTGGCGCGGGAAACCACTGTTTGTTGCTCATCGTACCCAAGATGATATCGGAAAAGCAAAAAATGTGAATTTAAACGAATTGCGCGATCCACAGACTGATGACGAACGAGTAAAGAAAGATGAATGGCTTGTGACTATTGGTGTTTGCCCTCATCTTGGATGTGTTCCGCTAGGTTCAACATTTCGAACGATTAGTCTTTATTTTTAAAAAAGAATTCAGCTAACAGAGATAGACAAAATATAAAGTTCATAATCTGTGTATAATTATATTATTATACTAATGATATGCTAAACAGTGAGATAGACTGATATTTATCTTGGCAAGTATGTTGACAAGTTTGTGAAGTATTTGTAATGAAGGAAAAAAACAAGAGCTGGGAGTTATCATTAAATAAACATTAAATTATTAAATATTTTTATTTTGTAGCAGGAAAAGGAGATTTTGGTGGTTATTACTGTCCATGCCATGGTTCGACATTTGACACCTCTGGTCGTATACGTCTGGGACCCGCACCAACTAATCTTGAAGTGCCACCTTACCAAATCACTGATGATAATAAATTGATTGTGGGCGACTGATGTATGGAAAAGTTAACCAACTTTGCAAATGAAGTTTTAACGTTTCGTTTAGGAATTCACATTGTCAGAGCTGTTGGATTTTGAGAAAAAGGCAGAAAATAGAATGCAGTAGTTCCTATGTTAATGTCTCTTTGTTGTATCTCAATAATTTCTCTATATCTTTTCATGTGCTTAACTTATCCATTTAAGATTTTACGGTTTAACCTCATGCAGGTAGTTTCCTTAAGTTGATGGTCAGAATAGTTGTCTCTGTGCTACGCCATTCATTGTTGCTTCTGCTCTTTACCGAAAATTGTGATCCTTGTCAGTTTCTTTTTTTATTGTGTTAGTCCATTAATTTTACTGTGTAATTTTTATTTGATTAATATGTGGCATATATTATAGACATGTCGCCTTTCAATTTGTATAATTTAGTACATATTGGTTCTGAAAATAGTTAGAGATGGATGATTTGCATAAAGCGGTCAATGATGAGTAATTGCTTGACATTTGCTGTTGCTGCTGCTGCACGGAGTGAAGAAGTCGATGCGTTGGTTATGTTCTTTAGTTGAAACTTGTTTTTGTCGATGAAAGGATGAAAAGTTGCAGTGCGATCGCAGCTCAGTGGCGTGATACCGATGAGTTCATGTCATTATAAGTAAGGTGCATTTGCACGGTGGAAGATCCTCGTATTGACGGCAGTGTTGCTTAGGTTGTTCCGTTCTCGACTCTTTTATTGCTGTGGATTTCCGTCCTGTCAACATTTCCTGTTAATAGTTTGACATCGCCTTGTTTATGATTCTTCAACTCAGCGGATGAAATCCTTGTACTTTGTCATTAATCATTACGCCATATATAAATGAGCTGCTTATGGTATGCATAAGTTAGTTCATGAATGCATTTTAATAAATCATAAGTATGGCAAGCATCTCAACATTTCCATGAATTTTAGCAGCTTAACGTGCATGTTGACGGCTGTCGTGTCAACAGCTAGTTTCAAGGGTTCTAAAGTTTGGTTGACTTCAGCCCTATCGAACTGTTAATGTCTCTGCAGGCCTGTAAAGTCAGCAAAGACATTCAGTATGAAATACAGTTTAGCGGCTTTACTGGCAAAAACGTCTTGCATACCAGCTTATCTCCAAAGCATGTGTCCACTAATGAGGGAGAAAGTCTGTTTCTGAAGATTACCGTTTTACATCTAATTTTGCCATTTAGATTTTTCTGTATCGTGTTTTTCCTTTTCAAGTAACAATATATATGTAAAATAAATGTGTAGCACAATTAGATAACAAAAAACGATTCTAGCAATTACTGAATTAATTTATATGGTTGCGGAGGGAAGATAATGAATATAGAAGTACTATAAAAAATTTCGTGTCTGACTTGGGCGAAGAATTAGCAGTGAATAAGTGTAAAAACTCGCTGAAATTTTAAGAAGATTAGGAATCAGATCTTTTTTCAAATACTGTTGCCAATGAAATTGCTATTTGCAGTTCTTCCGGATGTTAAGACATACTGATTAATGATCCGTATAGTAGTGAACAGTCAAAAAATGCTTGAATTTCGATATGCACTAGACAGTTCAGAAAACATGCATAAGATGAATCAAAAAAATCTTCGCAAGATGTCTAGGAAATTACTATCGCAGGTTTTTTTACTATCCATAGCATTTTCGGGATAGCAAAAATCTTTTTATGGGCATGAATTTCTTTAAGAAAAGTTTTATCTAATTAGCAATTAAATACTCTCAAATATATGATAAATGATAAAAGCAAAGGAGTGTTAGTAACTTTTCCTAAAAATCGTGAATTGAAAGTTGGCTTTTCTGAAATGCTTCCAAAGTCAGAGTTACGGTTAGTAAAATTTTAGATCTTAAAGATTTCTTGATAAGACTAGAATCTTGGTATTGAACATTTGAATTTATAAATGTATAAATTCATATGTATATGTTTTATGTTTGTGCAAGATTGTTCGTTCCTACAATTGGTGGTTAAACAGTCGAAACCTAATTCCAGTTTTTAATTCCATCTGCTGCATCACCCTTTTTGTCACTCTTCTCTTTTTAAATGTTGCTTAATTTCACTTTGACTGTTTTTATCATATTATATTGTCACCGTAAAGTAAATTTTCTGATTGTGTAATGGCAAAATTATATGCTAAAGATATCCATGAAACCTGCGATAGGATCGTCAGCTTTATGGTTGTTTTTTTCTACATATATGCTCCGAATTTGACACATACTTCGATATTCATTTACTTAGTTATATCTTAGCTGCCATGCTTTTCTGAAAATCATAGCTGTGAACAAGTAAAGTGACTTGTTCACACTTTAATTAAAAGAGCTTGCATCGTTTGATAAAGAGTGGTATGAGAAATACTAGACCTTGTTCCATAGTTGAAAATATAACAGTTTTAACATTGAATGGTTATGAAATAGTCGAAGCTTTATAAAATTTTCAAGTGAATTTGAATTCTGTTTTCTCTAGCCAAAATAAATTCTTTATCAAACAAAGGAATATAATATTTAGCTTGTCAATATAGTCGCTCTAAACGTTGCTTCAGGATGCGTGATGTCATCGGAAAAGAAGACATCTGGTGAGAATGGCACCTCAGCGAACGAATTACATGACGCACATAATGTTGCTCAATCAAACAAACCAGCTAAACTTACCAAACAAAGTGGAGTGGACGAAGAGGTATGTTCCACAAAAGTTTTAATGTTTTCCATATTTTCGCCTCATTTTCAGATTCAGACAAACTTATTTTGTCTTCATTATTAACAACTTTTCAGGACTTGGAAAAATGCAGTGAAAAGTTCAAATTAAATAATGAAGAAATTAAGGAAACGACGGCTGTACGTATTCAGCAAATGGATAACAGCAATATATATGTAACAGTTTTTGATAATCACAGCTACCTCTTATTCTTAGTGCAAAGAAAACCAGAAGTTGTTTATATGGCCAAATTTTTTTCTGTATGTTTAAATTTTAACTAAATTTCATATAATTTTTGCTTCTCCTCCAGGTATTTAATCAGCTCATATACTTATTTTACATTTTTGATAGATTTCTGATCAAGACATGGATAAAATTTTTCCTTCTCATTTTCCTCATAACTTTTTGATTTGACTATATTAATTTCTTTTGTCATTTAAAGCTCGAAGGGGAAATGATCTCTGCAGAAAAAGCAAAATGGAAATTACACTCTGTTTGTTTGAAATAGTTTAAGCAAGTCTTAAGTGGTTTGTATCCCTATGAGGGATTTATTTAAATTTAGCAGTTATTGGAGAAAAAAATATTAGATTATAATGACAAATTTCAGCCACCTGATCATATCAATCTGAATGTAACACCATCAACAAAACCCAAAGCACTTGTGCGTAGCCATGCATTTTCGGGTGATGATGATTCTGGCGTTTCTGCCAGGCATACTCCAACGTCACACTTTCTTGCTTCACGTTCTACTTTTTCTTCTTCTTCATTTGGTTCGTCTTATCAGGATATTATTTAACGAATATTTTTAAAACGACGTTATTTATAATCTTCATTAAATTGAACTGTAGATTCTGGTCACGGTCACGATTACACGGATTCGACTGGGATTAATTTGCTTTCATTTATTACATGTACGCTTCACAAGAATTCGAAAGATCGACATATGTTGTTACAACTTGAACAGCATATGACAAAGCTTATTAAGGATTCAACGTGAGTGATCGTAAATTATTTCTTATGCGCTACATTTTGATTCTAGGAAATAACTAAGTTCCAAGTAGAATTGCAGTTAAAATCTGTTTTATTTTATTATTGGTATTTATTAGTTATTTACATCGAAAGATATCTTCTTCATGATGATTGAATAATTGTAGGAATTTCGTATCGGTTGACTCTATATTTCTAAGTAACAATGATCCTGAGATGTAAAACTGAAAATAACATTCATTTATTTTCTAATATCACTAAAATTAAAATGTTCATTCCAGACGCAATTCTCAAAAATTCCCAGCTATGAGTTCGTATAATCGTATGTTGGTACATCGAGTAGCTGCTTTTTTCGGTTTAGATCATAATGTTGATCAGAATGGTACAGCTGTTGTCGTGAATAAAACATCACATACTAGACTGTAAATTTCCTTTTTTGTTATTGGCTTATTCTTATATTCATTTATAAAAATGCATTCTAATTCACTGCTCTTTTTCTAAGGCCTTAAAATTTCGTTATTTGGATGCTTTTTAAAGAGCGCAGTTCCAGGCCTGATATCGATTTTTTATCGCTGATACAAGGTGATGTGTACACTGATGAGCCTCGTCGAATTCTTAGAAGGGATGCTCAAAGCTATGAAGAAGTTTGTATTCCTTTTTATGTTCATATCTTCTCGATGAAAAATTGCTCGGATGTTTTTGACACAGTATTTTGGCTTCTGGAAGCTATGAATTTTTTTCGAATTACGAAGTTCCGTGTAAATCGAAATTTATCTTTATATCATTTGTAATTCCGCGGTCTTATTGGTCTTTGTGATTATAAAGCTGCAAAAGTGGTAATATAACGAGGTCTTTATATTATTCGTTTACTCACTTTAATCTGTTTTATCCCTGTATTTATATCGGAGAAAATATATCTTAAAAACTAATGGGTAATTCATCAAATTTTATAAAGATAGTCTAATTTAAGTCTGATAGCGAATTACAGGTCGGACAGTCATTGGGCTTAGGCTTAATCTGTGGACGTCGAGCACGTTCTTTCGAAGTAGATGATTGCTTACCAGCTGATCCAACAACTCTTACTGTTGGCTGTGTTCTTCCAACTACAACATCTCTTCATATGCATTTACTGCATCAGCAAGGATCAACTTCATCTACCGATGCCAGCAGCACTCATGTTTATTATAATTTTTTTTAAAATTAGCTTTAATGATGTTAATAGTTTTTATACAAACTAATTTTTTAAGTCATTTAGGTTTTCAAGTTTCGTATTTCAGAAATTGTGATCCGGATGCTATATATTATCTTTTATATGAAATAACCTCTTTTTGTGATATTTCTATCCAGTTTGTTTTTTAGTTTCTTGAATCACCTGGAAGCTGTTATACCGATCATGGGTATAGTGATATGCCGATCATGGGCGTCTATACAGCACCAGAAAGCAACTCTTCATTTAATAACACCACGCATATCTTCCCATGGAGCAGTTCTGAAAGCTATACAAGCTTGTCAGCTCCATCGAGTTTAATTTCTCCTGTTATGCATAATCATCTCCAACCTACAATGCTAACGGTATGTAGATCTGGAACATCTTTTCTCATAATATGGAAATCAACAGAAATTATATCAAGTTGTCTATGTAAACTTCGGCATTTAATATCTATTTAGATGAATAATATTTTAGTGGAATCAATCATATGATTGTTATTTGAAGACTTTTTTTTGCAAAACTCTATTTGGAATTAATAACAGTAGGATAATTTGGCAATAGGTCGACATTTCTCAAATACGTCAGAAAATGGAGATTTTGACACTCGTTCATACCTCCGATTAACTCTGGTATCACTAATCTATTTCAAAAGGGAGAACATGCCTATATGTCTCAAATATAAATTTCATGTGTTTTGAAGATTAACTGGTGATCTGACTGGTAGTTCTGCTGTTTTTTATTTCTTATTATTTGATTTAGCTACTTTTACAGAGAGAAGTAAGCATCGATAAAAGTACACCGCTGCACAGAACTCTCAGCACTCATTCATCTTTGCCTGAACAGCGAACACCTGCAAGTAGGCACGCTATTTCAGATATGATAATAGATGAAAGAAACAGTTTAAATGACATTTTTCAGCCAGATAGTAGTCAAATTACCAAATTTTTTTTTTGTTACTAATTATGGTAGTCATCGAAAATCTATGGATAACTGGTTGTGACTACCACAGATTGTCATCGGCGGGAAATATTTCATTCGAGAGAAGCTTCAGTACCGGAACATCTGCTTCATGAGAATGCACATTTTGCCGATGAATATGGTATGGACATTACTGCTTCGCAACAACAAACAGAGCTTGTATTTGCAACTCCTCCTGCATATCCTGATTTCGTTTCAAATCAATATATCGTCAGTCCTGCATCAGGTGTAGTTCTTCAGTTGCTATGTATCATTAAATTTCCAATTTATTGAAGAATGCAGATGTTTCAAGAATAGTTATTTTACTTTTTCTGCAGAATTTGATTTGCTCATCTAACTGAGCAATAGTCGAAATATACCGATAATTAGGGAGGCATATTTTTGCTAATTTGAACAAACCAAATGCTGTGTATTGTCCAGTTAACCTAAGCGATAGAACTCTCCAGCATCTTAACAAGGAAGAGAAAGCGAAATAAGCAAGATTACTTCACAGCTCTTTAGTGTGCAATCGCAATATTGCATGGATATAGACTGCACTTATCAGCTTTTTTTTCTCTGACTTCTCCTTCTCAGTTAATTTATTTTCTGGTTACTACTTTATAGAGCAAACAACATACACTGTTCTTCCACCATATTTTCGTTATGCTGGACCACCAACTTTATCAGTCGTAAGTAATTGCAGTTTTTTTTATCTCCGAATTATTTAAGAAGAAAAAAAGCCACTAAATGTAGAAAGATGTGATAAATTTGCTTTTTCTTTTTTTAGTTCTCATTAAAAAAATTGTTCTGAACGTTTTGCTTTTAGCAAAAATTAACGCATCAGGTGGAATCCTTGTGCGCAACAGGCTATCCAGAAGTAGTTCCAGCTTCTCCACAGTCTTATCTTGTCTCACCTCCACCAACACAGACCATATATCCACAGCAGGTGATTTTCCATTGCTTTTGCTAAATTTGATAGATGGTAATTTTATGCAAAAATATTCCTTGCTTTATAGTATGAATTGGATGAAATCATCAAAGTTATATGACAGCCCATTCAGTATTACGATATTTTCTGCAGTGATGTGCAGAAAATGCCGTTATTGATGCTGTGAATATTATTATTATTATGGTGTGAAATAAGTGAGGTTGTGTTCCATAATCTCTAAAAGTACCATTTGAGTTTATGATGTTAAAATATTCATTTCTATTATCCTCTTTGAAATTAATTTAATGATAATAAATTTGCTTGCAGTTTCTGGTTTCACCTCAGGTCAGCACCGTATATTCATCGCAGCCTTATTTCTTACCGGTTTTGCAAAGAAATTATGGTATCTTTTTGAAATTTTCCATAGATCAAAGATGTCTTTGATGTTTTATCCTTTTTCATCTTTTGTTCCAAAATTGAGGAGAGATAGCAATTGATGATGTCGAAGCATAACGCGACAAAGAGCAAACCATTCTCGGCAATATATATTAATAAACGAAGATCTCTCCAAATAATCGAATCAATAGCCTCTGAGGTAATCATGAGCTCCGTTTGGGAGGCGATGTAAGGCTTGTCTGGCATGTTGTTGAATTAACAGTGCGAGATGCGTTACACTGAATGGTCGAACATTTCTTGTAATTTTAATAATTGCATTATTGCAGTTCCAAATGTAGCAAATGTACAAGGCACTTATCCGGTTTCAATTACACGGCATCCTATTTCAAGCTATGAATGTAGCAGTGTGCAACAAAGAAATCTTGTGGACGTAGTTGGAATTACGAAAAGTGAACCCGTGTTTGAAGATTCTACCGCAGTAACGCAGAACGAAAATATTTCAAACTAAATGTTTCCTAATTTATAGAGATTTTGTCACAAAAGTGGCTTTTTTTTCTCTCCTTTGGACTATAGATGTGGAAAACTTTAAATTATGAAGTATTTGAAGAACTTAATTATTAATAGTGAGTCCTATCTACTCGAGTTGTCTCTTGACATTAGTCCCAAGAGAGCATGTGAATGTCACAATAAAGCCAACTATTAATGTACAAATGTACAGATCAATAAATTTGTAATTTTCTTTGTGTATTACTTTCTTGCTGCCCTCGAACTGTCATTAATATTTCCTAAAATTAGTTTTTGTATTGCTCTTTCATTTGCAATAACTGTGCGAATTAGTGTTTTGAGAACGTCCATATTTTTTTGCCAATGTCTTATCATGGTAAGTTTTGTTATTTAATGTTCCTTTGTCTATCCTAGAGTTGAGAGAACTTTACGATATTTCTGCTTAACTTTGCAGTATTCGAATTTTGGTGTCAAAAAGATTTTAATGAATTGGTCACATTCGTATAAGCTGATGATATTGCGAGATCATCTTTGCTTTCAGAAAATATCATCTCTATAACGAAATAGAAAAAATAAAAAGGTATTGATATAGCATGACAACTATGAATAGTTATAATGTATCAGAACTCAATTCAGTTTGCATTCGTTCATTCATGTTTGGATACTAACTGTTATCTGAATTTTTTCATGAAGTTTTCTGGCGGAAAGATATTTTTTTTCTGGTGCGGGTATTGTTTTGTTTTCAACGTGCAACTCTTTGTATGGTGTATATATACTACTGAATTTGTGATGTGTAGAACTCTAAGTAATGATTTGTATTTTAAGTTTGTGTAGGAGGGACTTTTGCTTGAAATTTTATTGTATTTCTTTTTTTGTTTAATAATTATTTGAAAACTCTTCACTACTACATAGCACACACATTGTTTGGAAACTATCCTATCCTATTAATTATTGTTGAGTCGTTCTAGCTTGTCTTACTTAAGCATTGAAGAAATGTTTTGTCCTATATTTTGTTACGAATACTAGTAGAATGGGAAGGCTTCGATTATAATGGTTTTAGTTTCAATCTTTGTAAAGCATGCTTTTTCATCTTTTGTTAGATTTCTAGTCTATATTCGAAATACGGATCATTTAATACGGTATATTGATAACGTGGTTGCTTTGTTTTCGTTCCTTTCTAAAGATGGATAATTTGTTTCTGTATTCAAGTTATTACAACTTTCCTATTATGATAAACAAGCACATATTTATTGGAACTTTTGTGGACAATAATATATGGCTACATGAACTACCGGTTTATTTATCACATAAAGTTATTTTAGAAATATATGTAATGACAGTTATTTCTTTTTGTAACGGTGTTAGGCGTTTAAAGTCTACGAGACAAAGTAAGGTATATAAGCATGAGCAAAAAACTTGGAACTTTCTGAAAAAATATTACATGTATAGTTGTTTTAATGGTTTGTATGGTATGCGTATGTCATCTGAGTATTTTGTGAAACTTATCTTCTGAGCCTTATGAAACAATCACAGATATGAATTGTGGTATTAAATTATTTTACTCCACTTCTACTCACTCTCTAGGATGGTCTCGAAAGAAGAGTTGTATTTTCCTTTCGTTTTAATCCGTATTCAAGGTTTGCGTGACAGAGTAATGAGATTGTGGTAAAGCTTTGGTTTATGTCTTTAAACCTTTCAGAATGACGCGTTTACGATTATTGACAAAATTCGTCAATCGAAATCCTCGAAACATTGAGCAACTTGGTCTTCAAACTTATCCGACAGGCTACGGAATGGATGTTGATCGACATAAGCATTCATTTATATATAGGTGAACACACGTTCCTGACTATATAAACTTTTCCAAGTATAGGTCTACTCAGTGTGGATGAGAAATATGAAAAACAATGATAAATTCCTAATTTAATAAGCGACTGTAACTTGAATTTTCTTTCTGAATTTGAAAGTTTCCAGGGCCAATTTCCAGCGACATCGGCAATATGTTGAAGGTTACATAGAACACTACAAGGAAGGCATAGTGTTAACGGCATCTTCGCGTGAAAAACAAATATCTGCACAGCTTTGCAGGTTCATCAACTTTTGAATATAAAATTGAATTCATCAAGAACTTTTTCTCAGCTTACAAGAATTCTCTGAAAAACAGTTTGTTTTTAATTCTGGCCAGATTACTTGACCATTCTGAAATGTAACATACTCCATAGTATAGGCTGGATTTAAACCAGACAAATCTAAAGTAATTTCAGTTGCCATTCATACTAGAACAGTTCAGACTATTTGATTTTTATTGGCCAACATTTCCTCTTCAATTTCCTTTAATAATCGGTCCTTCCAAAAATTTGTAATCTATAGAAATTTTTGAAAATTATTTCAGTCGTTCTGATATTTCTGCTTGTGCAAACGTTGGCCGTGTACTCGGTTTAAGGTGTGCCATGGCTGGAATACATTTCTTACAAAATATTGATATGGAAAATATCAAAAAGAGTGTACACGTAAGTTGCTTTGTGAAAAACCATTAAGTTCCAGCTTTTTGTTATATGAAATGGTAGTGTACGCAGATGAAGCTGCTTCTCATTACTTTTGTCAGTGTAAAATTTTATAGGCATCTGCATTTTTTGATGCCTTAACAGAAAGTGGAATCAAATTCGGAGAACCGCAGCCTACCCCGCATACTTTTGAGGTTGATCCTCAATTAACCTATGACAGCTATGAAATACATCATACTCGTGAAGATAACATTGAGTAGAACATGAAGACAGAAAAAGTAAGTTATTTTAAATTGGTCTATATTCAATGCTCTGCACAGGAAGTTTTTCCATTTAATATATTTTTTAGTAGAAATCTTTTTCTGCATTAAATTAGTTTTATACTCTTTGGCTTAAAAATAAAGAAATTTATCCATAAGATTTAAAAAAATTCAATGAATTAAATTTGAAAATTAATGAACATTGATATTGCAGCGTCAGTCACGTTGCAGTGCTGTGCCCGTGTTTGGCAAGTTCATCTCTGAAATAAAACAGATGAAACATCTCAAATGACAACAATTCTGTGTATCATATCCTGTGTTAAAGTTACAGTGAACTTCAGAAACTAATAAAATGTTTAAAGAACCATGTTTCAAAAAGCAAACCTTAGTTGTTTGGCGAAATCGTTTTCGTTCGCTTCATCATCCCAGTTATCTTCCCAGACATTGAGTTCCTATAATCATTTATGATTTGCAGAATTTCATCCAGAGCAAAAAAAAATATCACATTAAATACAATAGAAATTTCCAAACTTTTTTCCATTGCATAGAATTTCAACATCATAATCAACCAATAAACATCTCCCGCATGCAATTAATAACTGCAGGTTTCCGTGATATGACGAATTAGTTGTCAACTGTCAGATACAAAAATCCTATATTGTAACTGTATGAACAGATTATTATGAGTTGAGTGAAAAGTGAAAATACTATAAGCGCTCATTAGCTCTCTGTTACACATCTACATTCTGCTTAAAGCAATCTAAAATGTACACATCTAAAATTATGCAATAGGGGAACCTCTTCATCTTCAGCGCCTTCCTTAGCTTGCCAATCTTGTTGGGGGAATTCTTCAAACTCGTCATCCTCTTCAATATGTGTTTCCATTTTCTGCTGACTATCTTCCGGTTTGCTTCTGTTTTTCCCTTCTGTCATTGTTAAATCTTTTACAAGAATTGTGATTTCAATTCAATTCCGAACCTGCAGAATACCAATTTTAATAAAGGAACTTATGATGAACCATATCTCGCAAATTACAAATAGCTGCAAACATATATGACGCAATATTTTGAATTTTTATAGCGTATTAAGTATACGTCACACTCCAAATTTAAAAATCTTTATTAGCAAAGATTACTGTCCACTGATGATGATTAAGTAACGATGCCAGGTCACTTCAGTGTTGCAAATGCACACTCTGTGTACTCCGAATTTCCCTTACCCTGACAGAAAATGCATCCATTATAAAGACCGAAAGTTAAAAAATTAAAATCACCTAAAAATAAACTTTGAAGTTAATAGCAGTAAATGAGGTTCATCGAAGCAGATATTGAATTGCAGTTTACAAAAAATAAGTATCTTCAGAAAATAAATTAAAAATTTTATTTCATTCATTGGGTAACTTTGATAAATCACATTTTTTCAAAAATGTAAAGGTATTAATTTTCGAATTTTTTACATTAAATCAAAGGCATAAAATCACAAACAGTATCAACAAACAAAACTTCTTTTGGGATACTTTACCCTACTTATATTCACAGATATGGCAACAATTCATAGATATCACTCTACTTCAGGAATCGACAGTTCTCGACCACCACCTAATTTGAGCGGTTGTCTGGTCTGGAGTCGCAAATGCTCTTGAGAAATTTTCGTCTGCCTGTAAATAATTTCTACTATCTTTTGATTTAATATAAAAACACTTCAACCATCCAGTAATAATAATAATTCAATTACTTACGAATGTATATAAACGCTAACCTAGGTAAATCTCGTTTGGGCTTGATCCATTCTGGATAAACTTTATCGTGAATTCTCCAAGTACCATCAAAGCTAGCAATATGATTTTCGAACACTACATATTCTAGTACTGGTTTCGCTTCATGTTCTGTCCCGAGTATCAATCTACCAAAGCGGTCATAAAGCGCAATTTTCTAGAAAATCAGTTTTGATTCTTTTTTTGTTTTCAACTGAAAGAATTCATTTTTTTCCTTCTTAAACAAAACAGCCAGAAATATAAATACACTACTTTGTATATAATAATGATCTCGAAAGATAATATTAATTAATAACTGAATAATAAGCAATACAATACCTGCATTGTATGCATTCGAACGATGATCTGAGCGATATCATTTCCAGATTGATGTGGGAAATCAGCACAACGAACAGATACAACGCGTGATGGCTCGATATGTTCCACTAATTCCCATATTACTGAACCACTTTCTACGTCTGGCCACATTTTCTGCAACAGAAATATAAAGCATATGCACGATTATGCAAAATAAAGAAAAAAAGACATCCTTTTTGCTAAGTTCTTTCACCCGAAAGTGTATCGCTAAATGATAACGAATTACTTGCTACATAAAAAAGCAACTCGAGATATTAAAAGGGTACAGAGAAAGTGAGTAAATATAAATATGATCGGAATTATAAATCGCTCAAATAAGGACAAGCACCGAAAGTATAGCATTCTGTACTTTCGGTGCTTGTCCTTATTTTATCCACATTCATCATCTAATCTAAGCGATTTATAATTCCGATCATATTTATATAGAATCGATGAACGCAAAATCTATGAACTGATGAAATATGCAAGTACAGAACGAATAATGTGAAAGGTAAATAAAGAAATGAAATTTCAAAATTTCTGATAAAAATACGAAGTCACTTGCCCCAAATGCAGCTTCTGTTATATATTTTTGTAATGCAGTCTTATCACGAGCCATCAAAGCTCTGTGAGCCTCAACATAAATTTCGTCAGCAGTAGTCGGAAAAGTCTGAAAAACAAAATTTAAAGGAAAAAAAAAACCCAATGTCAATCTTAAATATATTGCTCGTTGAGATAAATAATGCTGCAAAGAGATTCTCACAGTTCAGGCCTCTTATCTATCTGTATTCAACTTACTTTAACACTGAAATTTTCAAATCCCTTTCTTTTACGTATTCTTTTCATGCCGTGTTTATGGTTAAAATACCTGAAAATCACAAGAAATCTTGAAAAATCAGTAAGAAATCGAGTTAAAAAACATTTGAAGCTAGTAAGCATTAAAACTTATATTACAATTTATCATGACAAACTTATGTTGGTATACTGTGAATCGTCCTTGTTCTGCTCTGAGTAGTGCATATTCCAAAGATTCCTTCTTTTCGTGGAATTCTGGAGGGAGTAAGAAGGGAAAGCCTAATAATTTCAACGGATTTTTTCGAAAAATAGTATAAGGATTATCAGGTGAAGGTCCTTCTCTTGGAATAAAAGGATCCATTACTTGATCTGAAACAATATATCTCAAGTTTCGAAAAATTTCTAGACATACATCACTGCATGAAAATAAGCCGTATTTCTTTTTTGTAATCTATTCTATCTTAATCATCACGAAGACAATGATAAAAATTCTTGGAAAAACTAACAACAAGAGTTGAAAGTCACTTGATACTCTTTCCATGTCTGGGGTGTAACATCTCTGTATGGATTGATTCCTCTCTTTAACAATATAAGTCGCAAATCTAATGGGCTCATCTTCTTTTTCTTTTCTTGCATATCATCATCCGGCAGTTCGATGTTGAAATTCTTCTTAGCACGAAGCTATAATTTAAGCTATGAAGTTATTAGCAGTAATTAAACGAATAAAATTATAAAATTCCATTCGTTTCAATGAAACTACAATTTAAACTGCTAATTTCCTGATCGCTCACTGAAAATTATATGTCGAAAATTTCCTTTCATCTTTCTTTCCACTGCATCCACTACTGAATTTCAATCAAAAAAAAAAAATGTACCCGAGAAAATTTCCGCTCATTGATGTGTGTATTCCTGTTAGCTTTATGTTTGTTTGAGCGTTGAATGCCAAGAAAGAGTCGTAAGTTGTGTCGTTCTTTGTGATGATGAACATAACAAGATGGAACCAATACAAAACTGGTCGGAGCGATAAAAATTGGACAGATTAGTCGTTGCAGGCAACTGTATGTCTTCTGTAACATTACCTGTAACGAAGACAACCTAAATGAAAATTGAATACAAGCATAAAATATTTCAATTCTCACCCTGAGCAGTGAACACTGCCTGTACTATGTCGTCGGTTTGGCTGACTTAAGCCCATTCTTATGTTTCGCCTTGTTAAAAGTATCAAGACGATTTTTAATTACTAAACTACATATTAAACTTTACTATGCAATAACACCTCATCAGTTCTACTTGGATGCTACCAAACAACGAATCACATTGAAAGATAATATATGTCTTATGATAAGCCCTAATCCAAGTAGCGCTTTACTGAATTTGAAAAAATATTTGAAATTCAATAAGCATAAGTTACGACGAATCAAGCAGTCTATTAACAGTGAAGTCAGGCCAAACAGGACCAGGCTCCTTATGCTGTCCAAATATTGCCGATTTGTTTTACTTGCAAAAATGCTCGCAATACGGCTGCAGTGATATTGCAGAGTTCTCAGACGAAGCACATTTCGTCCGTTAATGGTGGATGTCTTTGGTGTGCAGTTTTCCCGAGGTGTCCCGGTTTGCGGTATGCTGTTTTACACTTGAACATCCGTTTGATGATGTAGCAAATCAATTTTTATATTGCTTACGAATGCGAGACCATATTGAGAGATGGTCAAATATGGATATTGAAGAGGGCTCTCTGAATGATTTCATGAAAAGTTAGAAAACAGCACGAGGGTTAACGCACAGTATTTGTTACTTCACATCCCATACCCATTGGGGAAAAGAATGTGGAAAAGACGAGAATGATCTGTGCGGAACGGAAAGTTTAGCACAGCTCGATGAACATTATGCTTATTTTGATCTAAACTTATAGGTCTTAACTCCTTGTCTAATCCAACGAAGAATTTTCAGTGGCTAAAGTGGATCATAGATGAGATATGTATAGAAAGCTGATATTCAGAGAATGTTTGAGACTTATTCATTGAGTGTTTATGCTTATGTTGGAATTGTTCCGCGGTACTGAGATTTTCGAATTATGCTGAAGGAATAGAAAGCAAGTTTATCATATAACTCCTTTGGAAATGTTCTGCAGAAACTCAAAAATGCAACCCGATAAAGAAACGATAGAGATATCTAATAGATGGGAAAAATGGAAATAATTCGGTGAAATATCGTGGAAAGATATGGTTTGAGAAAGTGCTTCTTTTGTTCTGTGAGTTACTAATGAAAATTCATACCTTTAAGGCAAGACGGTTCCACGAGCAAATTCGTCGGGGACGGATGCGGAACTGATATCCAATATTTATGAATTTGAATTTGGTACAAAAATAGAATTGTTTGTTCGTCTTTTCTTTTTGGAAAGGAAAATAAGTTAAAAAATTGGTCGGCTATGTCAAGTTACTTGATCTTCTTCATCTTACTCCCCAAATCTTATCACATTTTGGCTAAAAAGAAGTTAGATCAAATTGTGAGTAAAGTTTTGCAAGAATTGGATGCATATCTCCTGTTGGCACAATAACGGTGAGGAAAACGATTAAGTCAGGAATGAAGTCTAATGAGGAGTTTGTCGTATTGGATTAGCCCCATGGGATTGGATAATAAATTTATTGAAAGCCTCCTTTTTCAGTCTATCGAATGAAGCTTGTATTATCTAACAATGGAGCTAACAAAGCCTATCATCGTGAAATTTCAAGTAAATGTTGACTTCAATAATACGTTGAAAAGGGTTTATTAATTAATTTTTCAATATACTGAAAAGTGCTATTAGCGATAAATACAAACGTAAACAAAATCGACAAACTTTAGGAAAATGGACGACGCTATTGCTTAAAAACATGCAATATCGGCTCGCACGTAGCAAAACGATGGGCATCCTTTCACCGTCTTTGGTTAAAAAATGGCCGTTAAGCAAATTGGATTTGCATTTTAATGACAACATCTCTTACAGAGGCAGCAAAGTGGGCGAGAGGCACAGAAAGATGCCAACAATACACCTCTCTTCAATTTCGTCTTCCCACAAACTACAACATTTCAGAAATTTCCAATTTTCCGCCCATTATTTGTACGCAAAAGAATGAAGGATTACTGGATACGGAATAATTTAGTGTCAACAAATTATTCGTTTTGCAAAGGAAACTTTTTTAAACGCCGTAAATTTTGTTTGGCATAATTGATATTAGAAGATCCATTTTGGCTTCTTCCTGCTCTTCAAGAGACTAATTTTGCGGTGTAAAGTGAGTTAGACCAATCACTGAAAATTTTTTTCACAGTGAAGTGAGCTTACTTCTCTTATTTTTAACTGCTTTTCATTCTATTTGGAAGCTTTTCTGGTTTCATCTTCAGAATTACAATCTTCCAAAATTTCAATGATTATTACATGTAAAAAAAGCATTTTATTCATATTGCATGCTTTTTGGCTTCATCAAACTTATTGTTTTATTCGAAAAGTGCCACTACGTAAGTTTCAAATCTATTAGTTAGAATCTTGATAAGAATTTTTTGATTGATAATAGAACTGAATGAATTATCGAAGGATAGACCATTTAAAGTAAAATAAATCTGAAATAATATTCACAAAATTTTTTTGGACTTTTACTGTTTCTCTTAATTAAGAGACAAAAAATAATTGAAATAATGGGATGAAATTAAATAATTAAATTATCGCGCTGGGAATTTTTCCAATGCGAAGTATCTTTTACATAAATTTTGAAAGCATACATTGAAATTTGAATTGGGCGGATAGATTCAGTATCTTTAAATTGCGATATTTTTTAGAAAATTATTAAAAATTTTCAAAAAATTTAGGTGCCTTTATAAATACCAGTGAGCTAGACAATACAACTGCAGCAATAATCCAAGAAATGCTTCGGTTGGCTGAATTTTGGTTTAATATGGAGGAAAAAAATGCGGTAGATGTGGCGCTTGGTGTACGTTACCTTCCGGCAATGCATTCCACCACACTTCTTTGGCATTTAGCCGATTTTGGTTTCTTATTTCCATTTATCCTTCAAACATGCCATTTCCATCATGTCAATAGCTAATTTGAATTTATTGATAACATGTTTTATCATTAAAGTTTCCACAATTCCACATTTTAAAATGAATTCTACGCTAATCCGCTTTTTATAGTATTTTATGGTCTTTAGTTTTAGTATGTGATGAGCTCAAAATTGGCTTTATGATAATGTTAGCTGGAAGTTCTCCCGTATCGTTTGGTCTTTATAGTTCATTGGCAAAACGAGTTAAAGTTAGTTTTAATCGAATTTAAATTAAATATTCCTTGACTATTAATACTTCAAATATTCCACATGCTAAATGCATCTTAACATTAAGATAATTTTCAGTAATATAACACTTTTGAAATAATAGTATGATTTGGTACTTCTGGTTTATTATTTTTCATGAAATAATGAACTATTATTAGTTAAACATTTACCTTTCTTCCATTAGATTTTTAAATATGATTTCTTATTCAGATACCATTGATCGATTGGGAGACTTCCGATTTGAGCTCTGATTCGGCATCGCCCTTTACAGCATCCGTAAGGCCTCCAGCTGATGAGCTGTTGGTGGATTACATCAAAATTAAGCAATGGCATGAGATTGTTTATTTACATGATGGTGCTAATGGTAAATTATATTTAAGTCATTCATTGTATACAAAGTTTTCTTCCCATGAATTTAAATTTGAATCATTTTAACACTTCTCAAATAATCAATTATCATTTAATTTTCAGCCCGCTTTATCTTTTTTTATTTAGAAAATTGGACTTTTAAGTCTTCAATGCCTGAATGGAAGCACATTAAATTATTAATAACACTTGAACTGCAAAATGAATATTTGTTTCAGCGGAACGAAGCCTTACTGCAATATATAAGTATTTGGGAAAAAGTAATCCAATTTATTCTCTACAAATTGATAGCTATCGCATTCCGGAAGATGAGGAGTACTTTCGAGAATTTCTCAATAATTTTCATATGCAAAATTTTAACTTTATTGATTCAAGGTAGGAATCAAAAGTTTTAAGTTGTAACACACGATGGAATTGCTGACGTAGTACAATGATGCTAAAAATTTTCCAACAGTTTCATTTTTTTTTTGCTTATTCAAAAAGTAATAACATTGTTATGGTTATTGATATGAAACTGGTATAAAAGAGAGAGAATGGAAGACTTGTTTGATAACAATCAAACCAAAAAAGTGATAAAGGATTGATAGTATGAAATGGAATGAGAAAATAACATCACCCACCATACTTAATTATTTCAGATCCCTGAATGTTGTGGTGGATATTTCGAATAGTTATCGCATCCGAACATTTTTGCAGTCATTGAAAGAGAGCATACTTATCAAAAAGCAATATAATTATGTGTTTGCTAATTTTGTAAGCACAATAAATCTAAATATTCTGTTATTTCATTTTTGTAAAAAATAAAAATAAAAATTTTTTTAAAACCTCCAAATTTTGACAGGAATTGGATGAAAATGATTTGGATGCTTTCCATTATACTCTTATCAACATTACAGCTTTTTTAATGTGTAATAGATATAATCAACGTTTAAAGTAAGTTTTTTTAGAAAAGTTTCGATACTGCAAATTAGTAAACCTATTCAAATGATAACAAAATTATAGCGGTTTATCATATCAATAAAATTGATAAATACAGTGTTAATAATAAACACAAGCTGAATAAGATCTGTTTTAAATTTTTACTGGAAAATTTACCAATCTAGCGGGATTTTTCAACATTTCTGGTTTAAGAATGATGTAAATCATCATATCTAAGGAAATGATAATAAAAGATTTTAGTTCATTTTGTAGATTGGTTGTTGTAAAGAAGAATAGAACAAAAAAAAAAACTTGGAAACCTCATCAAGAAACACTTTTTTTTAAATAATGCTTTCATCAAATAATTATTAAAATATGTTGGTATTTTATTTAAAGGCTTATTCTATTTCGAACTATTGCATTCATATTTCAGCAAGGAAAGAAAAATGTATGTGCACCATTACGGCAATCGTTCAATCATAGATGATATACCAATACCTGTAAGTTTGTTAATCTATCCTCATTTACTGCATGTTAAAACAATTATTCAGTCCTAGTTTTATTTAGAGAGAGAGAGAGAGAGAGAGAGAGAGAGAGAGAGA